TCCAGCCTGGGTGACAGAGCGAGACTCCATCTCCAAAAAAAAAAAAAAACGATAATAAATGTTACTGGTTTATGTATTTACTATACTATACTTTTACCATTATTTATACTTTTTACCATTATTTTAGAGTGTACTCCTACTTATTTTTTTTTTAAAGTTAACTATAAAACAGCCTCAGGCAGGTCTTTCGGGAGGTATTCTAGAAAAAGGCATTGTTATCATAGGAGATGACAGCTCCATGAGTGTTATTGCCTCTGAAGACCTTCTAGTGGAATAAGATGTAGAGACAGAAGACGGTGATATTAATGATCGTGTGTAGGCCTAGGTTAATGTGTGTATTTGTGTCTTCAGTTTTGGGTTTTTTTTATTTTTTAGAGACGGGGTCTTGCTCTGTTGCCCAGGCTGGAGTGCAGTGGGAGGGATCACAGCTCACTGCAGCCTCAAACTCCTGGGCTCAAGTGATTCTTCCTGCTGAGGCTGAGGCCTCCTGAGTAGCAGGACTACAGGCACAAACTCACGAGCCCAGTTCACTTTTTTTTATATTTTGTGGATACAAGGTCGATGCTACCCAGGGTGGTCTCGAACTCCTGGCCTAAAGCAATCCTTCCACTTTGGCCTCCCAAAGTGCTGAGATTACAGGAGTGAGTCACCACGCCCAGGCTGTGTCTTAATTTTTAATTAAAAAGTTTTAAAATTTACAAAAAAAATTAAAAGTTTATAAAATAGAAAAAAGCTTATAAAGATATAAAGAAAATATTTTGTACAGATGCATAGTGTTTTTGTGTTTTAAGCTAAGTGTTATTACAAGAGTCAGAAAGCTAAAAAAGTTTTAAGTCTGTAAAGCAAAAAAGTTACAGTAAGCTAAAGGTAATTAATTATTGAAGAAAAAAATGTTATGTTTAGTCTAGCCTAAGTGTACAGTGACTATAAAGCCTACAGCCGTGTACAGCAATGTTCTAGGTCTTCACATTCACTCACCACTCACTCACTGACACACCTAGAATAACTTCCAGTCCTGCAAGCTCCATTCATGGTAACTGCCCGATATTTTTTACCTTTTATACTATATTTTTACCGTACCTTTCCTATGTTTAGATACACAAATACTTACCATTGTTACAAATGCCTACAGTACTCAATACAGTAACATCCCGTACATGTTTGTAGCCCAGAAGCAACAGGCTACACCATACAGCCTAGGTGTGTAGTAAGCTACGCCGTCTAGGTTTATGTAAGTACACTCTGTGATGTTCACACAACAATGAAATCACCTAAAAACACATTTCTTAGAACATATCCCAATCATCAAGTGACACGACTATAAAGAAAAAGGGAGTGGGCCAGGCACGGTGTCTCCCGACTGTAATCCCAACACTTTGGGAGGCCAAGGTGGGGGGATCACGAGGTCAGGAGATTGAGACCATCCTGG